GAGAGAGAGAGAGAGAGGCTCGGTGGACGCGAATTCTCGCGGAGAGGAAGGGGGACACAGGGAAACGAAGAGTCGCCGCGGGAAGCGGAAGGGTGAGAGGGACTATCCCCGACATTCACCGCACGCTATTCTTCATACTCCATTATCCGTGCTCTACTCCACTCTACTCCATTATGCCGGCACCGCGTATAAACGACGAGTCGTACCCACCCCCTCCCACCCCAGCCCTTCCGACGCGAACCGCCATATGTCCATCAGGTTACTCGTTGTCCTGTACCTTGCTGTGCGCAACAGCGATAAACACCAGCCCAAGCGCGGTTATCGAATGAGAAAAGTACGCTGCTTTATGTGGACCGCTTCATAATCCGCGTCAAACTTCGCCAAAGTATACCCCTTTGACCAATTTGAAGTCCACTCTTCGTTTGCAAAACTCAGAGGTAATAACGAATGTTGCTTAGCATTAATTATTAAGCCTTTCAAAAAGAATTGTTCGACAAAAAAAAAAATTGTAATCGTTGCCTCGTGACCAGTAGCGAATGCTCTGTATTTCTCTTCGGATATCAATGTAATTGATGTAGCATGTATCTGCATTGGCACAGTTGTATTAAAATTGATATTCGAGAGAGGCATGGTGCGACGTGCCTTTAAAAATACGTCGCTGCAGCGCAACCATGGCATGCCATTTACGGTGATAAGCTTAACTTGGTGTACTAAATATGAAATACGCCTTCATCATATATACGTACATACGACTTGGCTAGAGCTACGAAGCAGACGCGAATTCCCCTTCCGAGACCAGGTTTAATTAAATCTTTTGCAAATTTGCATATACGCACTTCCGTCAGTGAGAATCCTTTAGAACCCTCGGCGTTACCGAGACCCCTGTAGAGATTCGTTTCTCTACCTACCTGTTATGTAGATCTGCCGCTAGTCCTCCGAGATGATGATGATGATAATCTGAGCGAAGACGACTTCGAGAGGAAGGATACCGTCCAAAAAATAAGACACTAAAAAGAAAAAGAGAAATTAAAATATGAATATTACACTGGGAAAAATAAACCGAGATTCGAGAAAGTAAGTAACAAGATATACGGAAAAAAAGATATGTGCTTCTGTAATTATACGAAAAATCTAGAATAACGAATCGGGGACGAGGTCAAGTGGGAGCGACATGTGGGAAATTAAAGAGAAAACTCACTACGGATTATATTTTGAAATACACTTTTACTTCGACTCGGTCAAAAACTACGATAACAATAGGTCGGTAGATATGTATATCGGAAATCATTTTTGGAAACGCAAAGTGCTCATCGCCGGTTTACAAAAACGGACAAGCTTCCTGCCGACGCGGCGCGGTGCTTCTCACGAAACTATTTCGCGAGAAGTTGTGTTCCTCCGGGGGGGGGGCTTTCGTTTCTTTAGCAGAAATTTCGATGTAAGGTCTTCGATGCCGGCACGTTCGTTCATTCGTTTGTTGAATACTCGCGAACATTTTTGCCGCCCGCACGCTCCCCGCGACGACATTTTCATGCGACAAGAGACCTTCTCACCTCGCGAATCGAATCCCATTCGATCTTATCGTCGGCTCGATCCGAACGTGACCGCACGTGATCGCCTTTCGCGAATCAGCGTCGATTCCTCGAGGTAACTCAAGAGTCGCTGCGAATATCTCGCCAAAAGCGCGAAGCCGGTTTTTTTTCCAAGTCCAAAAAAAAAATGGTTTTTTTTTCCTTTTTTTTCTTTTTCTTTTTTGTTTTGAGGAAACTGCGGGTCAACGGAAAACTGAACGCGCAACGATGGAAGATACATGTATTTACAAAAAGAAAGAAAGAAAGGAAGAAAGAGAGCTTGTCGCCGATGTGTCACAGTCGCGACGATATTGCACGATCCCGCAGCGATCGTTCGCAGTTATACTATGAAAACGTAATCGATGAAACTAAATTAGCGCGTCGGATCGCTCAAAACGACTGCGAATAATGATTCGATGGAAACGACAATGGCCTAGCTATATACACGTATATACATCCCGTGGATATTATTATTGTAGTCGTCGTTATCACCACTTTCACACCCGTGCTCGCTCTCTCGTACGCAATTCGTTCTCACTTAGTTACCACCCCCCCTCCCCCCGCTCATTTGCACCCCTCTAAAATTTGTTGGCGTGAGATGCACACACACACACACACACACACACACACACACAACCGGTAAAACAATTTTTATTTCCCGAAGCTTTCCGGAAGAACATCCCTCGGGGCGAACGGAAACTCGCCCCGACTCGAGTTCTTTCCGGATTTAATGCCCACTAGTGCTACTTCACAGTCGAGAAAGGTCCTCGACTTTCGATAGTTCTCAAAGAATCATCACGTCACATTACAATTATCGACGATCTCGACGTCCTCAAGAGCGATCTGTTAAGAGACATTACTTCCAGAAGTCCTGTCTTCCAGAAGTTTCTCGATTTTTCGATGGTCGATGGATTGTATAGATATCGAGATATCGATCGAGATATCGATCACTTCTGTTCCTTCAATACGGTCTCCAGACATTGTTGTCCGGTCTGACTTCCTCTTGCCTCACGCTGCAACTGTCCGCGACGGCCCTCTGCTCGGCGCTCTCGGGATTCTGGAACTGATTCCCGTAGAGCTGGGAGTAAAGGATGCTGGGCAGCACGCCGGGCGTGGGAAAGTAGTTGCCGTAATTCTGCCCGAAGCCCTGCTCCTCGTGCACCGGGCTCTCGGTCGTGCTGGAGTCAGTGGACAGTGATCTCGGCGACACGTAGTCCTGATATCTCTGACTGGAGGAGCCGCCGGACATGAGGCTGCTCAGCGGATCCAACGGATCCGATTGACCCGGTGTCGTGGTGTCCGGTACGACTGTGACATTCGAGGAAGGAGACGCTACGCTAATTCAGTTTTGCTAAAAATCGCCCGATTTTGCTTCTCGAGACTCTAAGATTCTACTGATCTTTCGAACGATATTACATTTTCAACCGTGAGGTATGACGCTTCGGAAATATTTGTCGCGTAGTGCTTTGTTTAACCTTGACTCTTCGATCGTCGATACAATTTTATTATTTATAATAAATAATGAAATAATAGAGTCAAGGTTAAACGAAGCACTACGCGACAAATTAACAGTTATGAGACCACCCCATGGTCCACTCGTTCACCGTTACGTTCACTTGTACAAAACCTCGTGCAAAAAATCTCGATGATAATCGTGCAGGGAGCTAAACTTACGAGAGGAGACCGCGGAAAAAGCATCCTGCTGCGGCGTGGTGCCGGTATTACCGGTGCCAGATGTGACAGTCGAACCCGCCGTCGAGTCCGGTGCCGTCGGTGTGGTCATGGATGCCGTGCCGGCGAAAGACGCTAACGTGGACGATGGCGGCGGTGGCGGAGGCGGCGGTGGCGGAGGTGGAAACGAGGCCTGTGCGGCGCACGACGAGAGGGGACCCGGAAGATAACCGGCATAGCCGGCCGTGCTACCGTATCCCCAAGAATTGCTCGCTGTCAGGCCAAACTGGGACATATCTAGAGAAACGATCTACGATTGCGATACGCCTTGCCAAGAGTGTGAGGGGCAAAAAAAAATCAAACGGGGAGAAAGCGGGAGATACCTTGCAAAAATGCAAAAATTAAATTGCGAAAGCATCGAGACGTCCTCGAGACGTCGTCGATCACGGAAAAGTAATTAATGAACGAGGAGAGACACAGCAGCACAGTCAAACAACAACACGTACAAGAAAAGCGTGCTAATATAAAAACATCGATAGCAATGCCCGTGATGACACACGGCGCATCGGCGCATCGGCGGAAAAGATAAATAATAATCGCAACAGTCGGATAAAACAACAGAAGGGTGAAAAGGCACGGGGAAATCTTCGCCGGATTATATGCCAATTCGAATCACTTGACGAGATGCATCGGCGGCGGCGGCGGCGGCGGTCCTGTGCGCCCCTTGGCGAATGTATTTTTGCGGAGTATAGGCAGCATCCCCGATAAATTTTCCAATGAGTCACGGGGGTTGAATGCAGAAAGGGCGAGCATGAGCGTTCGCGAGAGGGACACGGGCGGACACAGCGGGGGACGAGGAGAACGGAGGAGTACATCGAGATCAAAGGGTTGGTCATCCCCCGCGTAGCTGGGGCCAACTCAAATAACCGAGCCCGCCTCGGTGAGCGCCACGAGACCGTCGTCACGAGAGCTAACCCTAAATAGTGCTAGCCGTCCGGTGCTTTCACGTCCTTCGGCATTACCGGATTCCTTGCGGTCCGAAGAGGAGCCTCCCTTTTTATGGAAAATCGCCGAAAGTTTCGCGCACGAGTATTCTGCCCAAAGTATTCGGGGATCGCTGCGGGATTCAAATATCTGGTTGAATCCTCGCCTCGAGCTCACTTTGCATTTACAGAAAGGTTTATGTGTAGTCGGTTTTTTTGCCATATCTTTCATAATAAAAATATTATTTTATATACTTTTTTAATTATATATCGCGCGGAAAAAGATAATTAATCGTGACATAATGTGTTACATTCTTCTATACAGTTTTATTAGAGAGAAGTAACCATATGAAAGTGTCCCTCGAAATCGAATTCGCCAAGCATATAGCGTGAGAATAATATGGCCGCGTACGCATATTATATCGGACGGCCAGATGCCCGATGAGGGAAAAAGTTAATAAAGGAAATATTCAGCGTGCTTCGTATTTTATCGGGAAATTTAGCTAGTAACGGAACAGTCAGCCCTCACGTCTGAGGTAACTCATTAAAACGGCTGATCTCGAATTATTGTTTAAGCTTTTTTTCTCGTCTCTTCTTGCGCGTTATCAGACTCGTTTATCGATGTACGCGCTCGAGAAAAGTATTAAAAATTTTATCGTATAGGAAAATATATATATATCGTTTGCACATTCGGCGGTCAGACTTGATCACGCCGATCAGAGCTGCACAATTTTAATCAATGCAGCTTCTTTTTTTGAATAATCAACGAATAACATTCCCTCAGCATTACTTTGACAACGCGCGCTTTACGCGCAAACTCGCGAATCTATGTTATAAACGCGGAGAGAAGGCTGAGGCTGCGCCTCCAAAACTGGAAGCCAACCGACTGGGACGCGCTTCCGTGGCAACCCCTTTAATATAATATTTAATCTAGCTTTGAACAGGCTTGCGGTTTCCGCCTCTGAAGTCGAGAAGCTAGCTGCCGAGCCTACCCAAAAGCCGTGCTTCTGTACTCAGACCCCCAGCAGCAGTCTGGTTGAAAATATTCCCGAACAGAAGCCACCTCTCGATGACAAAAATTATCTAAATTTCATAACGTTACCGAGACAAAAGACTGACGCAAACAATTACTTTAAATACTTCCTTACGGAAGTTCAATCTCTATGTACTTCTTCGAAATCTTTTTATACGATATGCAAACTACTTCGGAAATAATATAAGTATGAAATTAAACGTTTATACGCAAGTATAAACTCGGCTACAAAAGAAACGGTACATGCACATATATATATATATATATATATATATATATATATATGTGTGTGTGTATAAGGAAAGTTATTAAAAAAAAAAACTCAAAGCTAAGCCGACGGCGAGATTGAAGGCGAGAACACGATCATGCGTAAACTCGATCGATTACTTACTCTGACAATTGCCAGGCATCGCGTGTCTGAAAGAAGACAGCGGATCCCTCGGCTGGAGCGGATTCGGTAACGGTTGCAACGGATTTGGCAGAGGTTGCAGCGGATCCACCAAGGGCGAGGCGAAGAACGGACCGCCTCGTTGCGAGGCGAACGCGAAGGCATGAAACTGTTGTTGCTGCCCTAAAAGAGACAGCACTGCGATCAACCGTGCGCCTGCCCACTGGACCTCCGGTACACGTATCAATCGCATATTTTAACTACGTATCGTACATTTCTTTCTGTCGCACCGGCGAGCGGACGCCTCGGTACCGATCGACTTTTTCATTTGCGCCATTATTCCAAATATAATTCGTGAATAATTCTTATAAAGTTGTAAAATATTTTAAAAACGATAATTATAATTTTCCTGTATCGCAGACATACGTAGATAAATGATTTTTGCATTTTCTCTGTTTAACAATAGTTTGGCGCATCTTTCATTTATCGAAACAGTACAGACGGAACGTATATATAACCAAACGCCGTGACCGGCTCCCTTCGGAAGCCGCGGAAACGACGAACGAGGGAGACATGGAGAGAGGCATCGATACATTTTATTTCCCTGCTACGGTGTCGCCAACCCAATTAAAGACGTCCCAACAGGCGGACGTCCTATCCCGGCTGTCCCTGGCTGGAGGTCGCCGCACAGGACAGTCGTGCGCCATGCAGGTTCGTTCTCTTCCCCTAAAGGCAACGATTCAACGTGGAAGGCACCGGAGGCCAGAGAGACCGACGCGAAGGGTCGCGGGGGACGGAGGGGAGGTGGCGGACTCCCGTCGTCCTGATAATCCAATCGAAGCCCTAATTCTAACTCGGCAACCCGAAATTCCCGCCGGTTTGCTGAATAGGGTACGCTCGAGCCGGGGACACAATGGGGGCGCGACGGCGGAATACCGACGGGTACCGAGACTAACGAGATCCTGTTAAACGACCGGCGATTCCAGCACGCCGCAGGAAGAAACCCCCCCCCCCCGGAAGAAAATTCTAGGGATCTCATGGTGTTTCTTAACGTAACAGAGACGCATCTTTTATTTTCTTTTCTAAGGGACGAGTTATTTATTGCGTCGTAAGTTAACGTGTAAATTCCATTTTCAACGTTGCCTTCGCTGCAAGATGAGAAACACACACGCATGCGGAATGCCACGCGACCGGAACCGATGTGGATCGAGAGAGAAACGACAAGTTCGAGCGAGGATTTGTTTCGAGATGCTGGTAGTCTCTCCGACGTTGGCGGCTTGATAGATTTAATAAATTATGCCGCTCGACCCACGAATTTATCACGCCACCCTAACCCTTTGAATTCGGCGCACCGCCGTTCTTCGCAGTATTTCATTAGGCGTCGAGCACTCGTGCGTCCCTCCATATAGACGCACGCGTGATCGTTCGTCCTTCTAAACCCCATGATGCTTTCCCATTTAAACCAAGTAGCAAATAATCAGTGGTCAATTTTTACTATAACTACTCCAATCAACACTACTCTAATCAAAAGCGTTCTTTTTAGCGCATATTTTGAAAAAAATGTGTCACGATCTTTCTAGTAACTCGAGCATTACCAATTATTCCGATTTGTCGTAGCAGTCGTCGATCCTCGACAACACTTTCGAATGTATTCCTTCGCGGAATAGGAAAGGTTTGATGATTGGACAAAGTCGTAAGTCCTCGGCAAGTCGCGGCTATCGATTTCATTGGACACCCTCTTTGCGCGCCGTGACTGCCAGGGAATTTCTCGAGAGTTAGCAGCTGGCAACGACAGATCCTCATTTCGTCCCGTCGCCAATTCCCGCCCCCCTCCCCTCCCTTCACCCCGCACGACCCGCGTCACGAAATCGGCTTCTCTCGACGCGCGAGCTGGAGCTGGTGGTAAATGCAGAGCGCCCATTTTCGACCTTTCCCGTCGCCTCCGAGAAACCGTTTCATTCGCCGAAGATGCACCCCCGCGAACCTTCGAATCCTAGTTCCGGATGGGCGAGTCCTCGCGAGGCAACATCGAAACCCGGGCTAAACCTCCCTCAATCAATTTCCTTGGTCCCGCAGCCTTTCCGCGGCAACGGCCACCTTCGGCTACCAGACGAGGGTAGAATGTGTAATGAATTGCTTGTTTAATTAATTACAACCCTTCGGAAGCATTCGCTCGGTATTGTCTTAGATAAGGTTCATTCGTTCGTTCTCGCATTTGATCGTCGAATGCACGAATGCACGAATTTGCCACATTTCTCCGAATGCATATTCGTTCATACGTAGAATTGCGATTTTTTTTTTCCTTAGTTGCGTAAAATAAATCAAGATTATTAAATAAAGTATATAATATATTCAAACTAAGAAAGGAAATATTTAGATGTTACTTTCCCCGCATCTTTCACAAATTATTAAGTGTTTCGATATAAATTGTGTAAAAAAAAAAAAAACTTAGTCATGTATTGAAACATAATAATTAGAAGCCCTTGCAGCTTATTCAAAGACAAGATGAAACACATAGATCGCAGCCTCGAAAGAAACGCATGAGGACCACCCGGAAAGTCGAGGCTCTTTCATCTCGCGCCGCCACCCTTGAAATTGTCCCTGATTCAGCAAACGGTTTATTTTCACAGAAGATTCAAAGCGCCGACATAACGAACGTCTATTTCCGACGTTCTTACACTACCTTAACGATCTCTAACAATTCCATTTCCGTTATTTACTTACAAAAACGCGTTATGCTCGATAAATCGTAAGGTCACAGTGAATTTTATTATTCCGCTTTAGGGTTAACTGTCTGCCCCCGTTAAAAAAGTACGATCTTCGTAGTGATCCATATAATCTAAAATAAAAATCTCATTTTTAATCCCGTTATAAAATAACAAACGGCAGCATTAATATCGCAAGAGAAATTATTTCTCTGAAGCGTTACGTAGTGTTTTGCTTGGATGCGCATCTCCGAGCGGTACACCGAAATTTCGCGTTTTCATATTTTGGATTTATGACGGAAGTTTCGTGGGTGGTCCGCAGATGCGGCCAAGCCGGCGGATGTGGTCGCAATTTCCCAAGGTACCAAACTTATGCCGTGCTACCCAGAGCGACCGCCTCGATATATTAAAGCTATCGGATATTTTTGGTACGCTTTCACGAGACGACATTATGCGTATTAGCGTTCCGATATCTAAATCAACAACGAGTGAAAATGAGCCGGTACGTAAAGTCCTCTCAACAAGATATTTACACGGAGAAAAAAGATTAGTCTAACGCCAAGACTATATATTCTTATATATAAGCAAGAATATTATAATCTTTTTAAAATAAATAAATCAAGAAACGTAAAAAAAAAAAGAAATCTATTCGAGCTAAAGCTAGATGACAATGCTCTTTGACTCGAACAGTCCTTTTTTTATATTCTTGATTTATTTATTATATAGAGCCTTATCTATTATCTATTAATCTTTTTAGAATAATTTTAGTCTTGATTTGATCGAATTTATTGAATATATTCTGTATGTATAAACGTAAAGAATATTATAATTTTCATATAAAAGACTTTTAGTCTTGAGTTGAGCAAAATGCTTGCATTAATACAAATTCAATTAAATCAAGACTAAAATTTTTAACAAGATTATAATATTCTTGCTTAAATATTATATATGAGAATATGTGTCTCGATTTAAGAATAATTTTCTTTCCTTTCGTACAGACCTTTTATAATCAATTCGAATAGGCGATACCTGCGGCATGCACTTTCCGACGCAATATCGCCGGACCAACAACACCTAAATATTTTTCCTTTGTCAAATTTTCAAGCACAGAATCACAATACAACTTTTAAAAGAAACTTTTGTTTCGCCGCAAATTAACCGGAACTTTCCAAGACGTTACGCGGTAGGTTACACGGTGGATAACATAAATGAAGGATGTGAGGAACGTTCCCCCTTCTCTTCACCTCCACGGAAGTGAACCCCTGCAGTCAGACTCGACGGCAGCCTACCGAAATAACGGGGAGAATTCCCCCGGTAATTGTATGTCTCGACTGTAGCTCTCTCGCGGAGGAGTTCTCCGCGAGCGGATATCCGCAAAGTTTGTAGGCGTCGGCCCCGCGTTTTGGCCAAAGCACCGAGCGATACACACCTCCGCGGGCGACGCCCGCAGCTCTTTATCAATGTTATGGCGAGTAACCCGGTGCCCACGCGGTTATAAATAATGACAATTGCGCGAAACTTAGCCTTGGATAAGGTAAACGGCCGACCACCAGCACGAAGCCGCACTCTGGGGCCATTTCGAACTTGCGGCTTTTACTACCTCCGGTGCCACGCCGCTCGTTCGTTAGACATTACGATTCGAGGGTCCCCCGGTAATGCCCGTTTTCGTGCGTGCTTGCCTAATTTTGCAATTTTGTGAAACATTCGCCGTTATCATCGGAAATCCCGACAATCGTAGGTGCGAGAGGTAGGCGCGAATGCGCGCGAGAAGCCGTCGACGAGGGCGCTCCCGGCGTGTCCGGCGGGACAAGACACGTTATCGTCTTATCGACTATTAACAAAGATAAAGTATAAGAAATATATATAAGAACAGTAATGCTTACAGTGATACTCACTGGTCTTGGATCGCGGCTCGCGCGGCCCGTCCACTGTCACCTTAATCGCCTTGGTATAAGTGGCGACTTGGGGCGGCGTCGTCGATACCGTTATCGTTAAGGTGAAACTCTTGCCTGGAACAGAAAGTGAAGTTCAACGTACGTTGTTTACGAGAAAGACTCATCGGGTTCTCTAACGTTCACGCTGGTTTCATTTTATAAATTTTATGCCCGAGGCTTACGGCGTGAGCATGCAGCTTTAATCATAACGACGCGTCGCGCGGAATGGAGATGGTGGAAAATTAGCCAAGCTCCAAAAACGACGACGACAGACGGCGTTCGCCGGGCGGGGTTTTTAGCGTCGATTTCCGTCCCGCGACGCGTCGATTCCGTGGACGCGCCTATTCAGCCGACGTCGAAAGTTTCGCAAACGCGGTTAGCCGGGCGAAACTCCGTGGTAACCGAATTATACGTCGGTAATGTATCGAGGGTGTCGTCGACGGTGACGGTGGCCAGCCAGCGCGGCCGAGTTAAGGGAACAGAGGGTGGCCGGACGTTCGGACGGGGTGGATCAGGCGGCGCGGGGGAGGAAGTCTCTCTCTCGCGCGCGCGATGCTAAAAAGCCTTGGTTGGCGCGCGAAATAATGTCGTGGAAAAAGCGGGGTGGACCGGGATGGGCCAGCCGCCGCTGTCTCTCTCTCTCCGGTGAAAACGCGCGTGCAACGGTACACCGCAATTTCATCCCGCGAGCATTAAGCGCCGAAAACTCTGCCGCCGCAAAAACACGCTCGCGCGATCATCATCGATTCGACGTGATATGACGAAAGCGCGCGAAAATTCGCGACAATTCGGTCCCGCATGCGAGAAGTCGCCGCAGCAAAAATTGCGAGCGCGATAACACCATTGCACGCGCAGGGAGAGGGGGGGGGAGGGAGAGGGAGGGGAAGGGTTCACCGCAATTTTAATCCTGCCATTTTTTTCATCGCCGCGCGTATCTCTCCTTCTCCGTCGTCACAAACTCACCCCGCCCGCGACAAACAAGGACAAGGAGAACAAGGAGATAGTTTGCAAGCACCGCTTTGTCGCATGACGGAAATTTAATGATCATCTTACTAACCCACATATCCAATCGACCTCTGTCGACGGACCTCTTGCGCGATATGGACGATATCCTCAAAAACATGTTTTCTTGAAATTAGATACGATAATGCTATTAAAAGTAGCACGCTTTTATTCGCTATCGGTTTACAAAATGAAGAATAACACATTATGTTATTTATATTCGCCCATAAACGAGTCCTTTCGACGAGCTAATGCATTACAACGGTCGCGTTACCCTTTCAAGCAGCCATTTACTGTATTTTTCTATCAGATCCATTAGACACGCTTCTGTACTTGTTTCTGGCGAATGCGATAATCGATCGGGTCAGAGTTCACAGAGTCGACTTGAACTCGCCGACCGCGTCGATAGAGACGGCAGGTCCGCCGCGCTATGACGTAAGATGATCGATGCAGGCAGGGGGAAAAAAAGAGGAACCGGCGGAGATGGAGGTTGAGGCTTCTCGGGGAGAAATAATGGCGAGTGTCGAGCGTGGCCACACGGCGGTTCGCCACGCGAGCTTTTCGTTTTCTAGCGGGGATTCCCCTCGGTTTTGGCCGCGAGTCACGCCATTCTCGCCGTGTGCCCTGCCAGCCAACCTTTTCACTTCTACTGTCTCAGAATCGATGGTTCCAGTTAGGTAGGTACGCGTAGGCACACGGGTATCACCCTCGGTGCCAGTCGCCACCGTACAGCCATTAAAGGTCGTCCGCGATCGCCCGAGCTTGAACGCTTCGCCATCTTTACGTATTCTTTAAATGTTCGTTAACTCGTCCAAACGAGGGGCCCTATCGCCCTCTTTCGATTCGGCGAGTCCTCGTCTCGTTATATATTAGCTCAGTTATATATTACGATAAATACAATAAATACAATTGACGATTTGTGTTTCAGATGCGAGTAGCAACAAAACAATATAACCGTACCGATGACTTTTTTTTAAATATTTTTACACAAGTACCGTATATATTAGCTGTCAAATTTAGAATAAATGCGACATGGAGAAACTCATTCTCCCATTCGCTGATTATGCTCGTTAGCATATAGTCCTCTGCGAGCGTGTGTGGAATTACGCGTGCGTACACATGTCTCGGCATTGTACGCTGTCGGTATACTGTCGGGCCAATTAATTAATTTCAATTTTCCCGAACGAAACGCAAATGCGCAATTGCAGTCTGATAACGAATTGATTACGGTCAGAAACTGCCGTCGTCACCGCGAGTGAATGCCGTTTTTCTTTTCGAAATGAAATGAGTCTCGTGTTGCGGTCAATATAAATCAACATTTCGCGAATAAATGCATTTTATCGATCCGATACCGTACCTCATCGCATTTTTATTACACCCGAAAAAGTCAATAAATTACCCACATATATTACATAGTTTAAACATTGCACACATGCTCTCTAAATTATAATAAAATAATCCTTTTAGATATTTATCTAAAAGGCAGATGCTTATTAAATCTCGTAAGATTTTTTCATCACCAGTTACTAACTTCAATTATCATTTTTATTATATCCAGAACAATCAATAAATTTTTCACATATATTATGTTTAAACGTTGCTCTCTTCAAATTATAATGATATAATTTTTTTTAGATATTTACCTATTTATTAAAATTAAATCTCGTAAAAAAGATTTTATCATAGGCAAATATTACTTTTAATTATCATTTTTATTACACCCAGAAGAGTCAATAAATTATTCACATATATTATGTTTAAACATTGCACACGCGCTCTCCAAATTGTAATCAGATCATTTTCCAGATATTTATCTGTTTATTAATATTAAATCTCGTAAAAGACAGTTCTTAGACAGTCGCTATCTCGAATTATTATTATTTCATCTTCTCGTTCATGCCTTGTTATATTACAAGTAAGATGATTAATAGGTTCAAGAGAAAGTGTGTTGTGGAATTAAAGCAACTTGGTTAGATCGGCGATGTTTCTATGACGAAGTTTATTCGCGGCAACAAAGTCGAAGGATATCTTGCCTGCTACGGGTTGGAACTATAAGCGCGCAAATGATCTATCTCGTTAAAGGGCTTAGGGCCGAAGGGGTGGAAACAATCCGGTACCTTCAGGGTAGACTTTGCAGTGATGGAGCAGGCATTACGGTCGAACGTGCGGGAAGGGGGTTACGGCTTATCATCGATATTGCAAAGCTCTCGACTATCGTGGCAGTACGCTCAATCTTGTCCGGGCTAAAAGCGGTTTTAGGCGAAGACAAAAGCATGGTGTCGGCGTTACGTTTAATGATCCCTTAAGTTTATTGCGATAGCAATATATCAAAATGCAATAGCGCTAGTTCACTAGTCTTTATTTTTACGTATGTTATGCACGATCTCGATCTTTCGACATGCCCTAGATACGTAAATTTTTTTATATTATTAATATATTAATATTGCTATTGATATAAACTAAAGGCTATAGCTGAAAGAAATTTTTAGAGAACTACTTGTCGAATCTCGAAAAATGGCAAAATTATCACAAATTCATACATGCGAATATCTCCATGCTCGACAAAACGGAAGGACCATTAAGAATTCCCGAGAGTTCGGCGCACATCGGTTTTCAGGGAATATTCAAGGAATCAGGGAGCCGTTAGGAATCTCTGGCGAGAGAGACACTTCTCTTACATTCTTCATCCTAGCTTATGTTAATTCCGTGCTCGGCGAAAACAATTGAGAGCTAATCCCAGACAAATGACTGACGCGTTCCCGTGAACTTGGGAGAGTTCCCCGCTTCTCAGCTAGGGAATCTGCGAGTTTCCTGATTCTCAGGCGATTAGCCTTCTCTTACTAACCTTACATCAAAAATATAACGACAGCGTACTAGATATTAATAATTATTAATTACGTTAAAAAAAAACACACACACACTCCTGTTACGTTCCTTTATATTTCTATGTTAATGTTAATTTTAATGTCACAAAAAATTAATATAATATGTTTAGGATAAATTGCAATTCACATTATGTTGTTTAGTACGCCAAACAACTTTGTCGAAATCATTAGAAGTAGGTCGGATGCACACACCGCTACTTTAAGTTACGTTAATCAAGGGCTTTAGTGTAAGTTCAAAAGACGCAGTTAGACGAAATACCGGCTCTAATAACGTTAATTAAAACTCAACTGAAACCTCAATTAATATCACCCGGCCCTGCGCGTCTAGTCGACATCGGCGACTTCGAGCGAGGCTCAGTCCCTCTCATTTCGCCCTTTCCACGACGAGGCTGGGCGGCAAAATGAGAAGAGAAGGTCGCACGGTGGTGCGAACAAATAAAAGCCATTACCCACCCCAAGGCATCTTCTCGGATCCACCCCGCCCGCGTAAGGAACCCCTAGAGCGGAGACGCGAGACTTTTCCTCGAGGAGTCAAGGAAAAACGAGGGTTGTCTCAAGACGTCCACGACCTACCCTTACTACGCGGTGTATACGAATTCTTTGAAGGAGTTTCCACCGTCGCGCTTCACCCCTCCGGCATTTTCTTCCGGCATAAAAGACGAAGGGCGACACGCCTCAAGCAAAGACCGAGGAACCTTGGAATTTTATGAATGAAGAGGAAAGTAGGGCAAGAAAACATCGCCCCGACGCCTGGACCTTCATTTCTCGTTTAGATGTGACAAATTATTCATCCGAATACTATATAGATTCTCACTGGCGATGAATTTTTAAATGAAAAAGTACCACCGACTCACCTCTTCCGCTTCTGCCGACAAACCTCAAGTCGTTAAATTTGGCGACTTGATTCTTCATCAGAGCTGTTGAATTTCTAAGCTCGGCGCAACAGTTTTCATCATTGCCGGCGCGAACAGTCACCAAGGTGCCGTCGCCTACCTCGCCGAGGGCTACAACTTTGAAAGCCACCGGAAGAGTTTTATTAGACCTCCAGTGCGCTGGCAGAACGGTGCAGACCAAATGCGGCGAACCTGCAACCAAAATGTCCGATTTCGTTTAGCTGCAACATGGCTAACGTTACTTACGCTAAATAAACACATCATTTAAATTACAATATGCAAAAATTTTCTCACTAATCTTGTGTTGCATAATACTTTTAAATTCGAAGTATTTTTTTCAATTGAAAAAAAAAAAATACCTCAAATTTAGAGGTACTGTGCGATACAAGGTTAAACGCGTGTGTTAATGAAAACATTTTTGCATATTGTAATTTAAATAATGTATTTATCTAGCATAATTTTTTCAATCGAAAAAAAAAAAAAATACCTCGAGCTTAGAAGTACTGTGCGATACAAGATTGAGAGATACTTTGCAATTTCGATAATCCTTACTAATCTCTATCTGCCGATCGTCACTCAATTACCTGTTCGAACTAGCTCGCCGGGATGCTCGCTGACGAAGTCACCCAGAGTTCGCTCGGCGAGGATGTCACTGGTCATCTTGGTATAGGCATCGGTCAGCGGGGATACGCCCGACTCCGGCGAGGCTGCCGCGCCAGGAGCCGAGGCTCCTGTCAACTGCATCCTGCCGCTTGCGCTGCTGCCGCTCTCGCTGGTGCCGCTGGACGTGCCGCCGCCACCCGCGGACTCGTTGCTGGATGTCCTTACCGAGCCAGCACCGTTTCCGGCTACCGTGCTTCCGCTGCCGCCGCCGTTGCAACGGCCGAATATATCCATAGGCAGTCAGAACACCGGATGAAACATCCTTCCATTCGGTTCAGTTGCTGAACCAGAAGAGCCTCGCGAGCATCCTTCGAGAACGTGCGACCTCCTCAGCCAGGCTCAACGGCCTGACATTCCACGCGAAAGAGACTTTCACAACTTTTTTTTCCAAAACGTTGAAGCGAGCGTAGCTTGTGTATGAGACGTCTTTAATTTCAACGACTCTCCTTTACAACGCTGGCGATGAAGCGAAGAGTCAACTCGACTCGTAATTTTCTTCAAGCTCCTTCATACAACTACGCATTGTTGTATAAATACGGAAGTGAATTTTTACTCTTTCGATCTTAAAACGTCCGCGGTAGACTAGGAAAATGCATTATTTTTCGTTATTTTTACCGAGCGTAATATCAATCTTTATAAAAATTGAACTTTTCAACGGAATGAGCCAAGGCAGTTTTATTCTTCTAAGATTTTATCTTCTAATATGCAGCTATATCATAAATATCTGAAATGAAACACGAAACAGTCTGTTTTTAACATACAAAATTTCTGCTACAATTTATCACTACTTTTTTATAAAGTTACAAAAATTTTTAAATTCTACAATTAATTATTAATTTCTATTAATCAGAAAATCTAATATATTAGATATATCAAAAAATCAAATATAAAAAAAAATCAAAAGATTAATTTAGCAAGAAAAATTCTTGTCGCAACGTGGAATTCTCGCGGCCGTCGGTGACCGGCGATGCCTTAACCGCTCTTAATCCGTTTAACGAAATCTTTTACGTGCCATTATCACGAGCGAAATCCTTTAACCGAATTGTCTCCAGCTTTTGCGGCAATTTGATATCTCGCGGACGATCGAGGAAAAACGGACGGGGTGGTCGGACGGCGAACAGGTAACGCGCGAAGAGAAACGAAAGGGGGTAAAAACGGTTGACACGAACAGGAACGACTCGCACACTTTTCACGCGGCTGGCTCGTGACGTCACCGTTCATTCAGTAATTTTTGCGCACGTCACCGGGGCTGACACGCCAGATCCAGGTGGTTCCAGGAGGGGCAGACTGGCACGGTAGTGGGGACGGAAAAAAATGGGGAAAAAGGAACGCCCGCCGGTAGGCATCCCCCCACACGAATGCCCAACCCCTACGCACGTACGACCGCGTGTCAAACTGCACGTGGCTACGTTTACCACGTTGCTTCCTGTCAATGACGGCCTCGTAATCCCAGAATTACGAAATCAGCCTGTATTAAATTGATAAGATAAAGATAGCCTAATTAAAGTGATTGCGAGCACGGCTCATTACACGATAAATATGCTATTCGCTAATCGAGATCGGCCACTACATTCAGCCGTACATGAGAAGAACTTCGCGGGACAACGTTCGAAATATAATTTTACTACATTAATTCTATATGACATATAAATGACAATTAATTACTTTAATTTCTGAATACATATCTATATTGTTATATATTATATAAAGTACAATGAGAAAAACGGTTTTGCTACGTCTAACATTTTTCTAGAGGCACGACTAAAAATTGACACAGCACGTAAAAAAAAGTAATGTAGAATGTAGAATTTTGCGACTAAGAGCAGTAATAATGACATTTGCATTAGTTTTCTTATGATTTTTTTTTGTAATGCTCAATGATGTTGCGACAACTAAGATTCTCGCTTAACTTCGCATTCAAATCTCTTAAACTCGTTCTATTTACCGTCTTTCGGAAAGAAGTTATGGTACCGATCACGTCACATTGTCCACTTCCAAAAACTTCATAAAAAAATAAAGAAGTATTACAAACGAACTGAATATGTGGAATATAATTTCTTTGAGCATTCCAGAGTGCCAGATTGCACGGAGCTTTTGAAAAACCAAAAAGACCGATTTAAAAAACGCTATGATAATGTAAATCTTCTTTTTAAAAGGCACAACGAGATATGATATTAGTTGTAATTAATTGCACATGGCATTATTTAAATTTTATTAAAGCGTCTAATCAAGAAGTACCTCGGTGTTACTGATGTCGAGATGACACTCCTAAAAACTCACTTTTTTGGAATAATAATGGCCAGTAATTGAAAATAACTCTTTTCAAAATCCTCGCATCCCGGATTCTTGATTACTCGTCCAACTGCAGTTACCGATTAAATATTACACGATATCACATTCATCGAGACACTAAAACTCTCCGCATAATCACGCACTTTGACGTATGTAGTCCTATTAAAATGAGAACATATGTTCGCGAGCCTCTTCGAAACGACACACTTCACTGAAACGAGCTATCGATAATCGAGAGTAATCTTCTCGAAACGTTCGTCTCGTCAAGATCACTCGGTCGAGCTCAAAGGACAATCTACGAACGATAGTCCCCCCATAGGTGATCCCTTAAGGGACCCCTTCGGCGGTTCGTTAGCGGCACCCTCGAATCATCTTCGTCCCCCGCGTGCAGTACGAAAGTGGCAGTTCCACCTCGGTGTAGCGCTCTCGGTAGTCGGGAGTGTATTTTCGAAGTATCCGTTGGGGGTCACTAACTATAATTTCGGTGGTTCGTGTGAGGCAACAGCCGTTGACGCACTGGTCCATGCCAACACACGCAGCATCCCTTTCCC